CAAAATGCACCAAAAAAGAGGCAGGACAATACCAAGCTAGAGAACAACAAACTTTCCTGTTTTAGTGTTTCATGGAGAAAAAGATTAAAAAATTAAATAGAAAACAGATCAGCAAAAACTAGAAGGAAAAAGGAGAAACAACAATGTAAAATAAATAACACACAAAGTAGGATGGAAGGAATGAGATGAAGTGAATCTACCATTATCTAAATATGAGTGGATGGAATTTTCTCTCATTACAAAATAGATATGTTTAGGAAAAACAAAACCCAGTTATGTGCTATGTATAGAAACACACTTAAAGTGATGAAAATGGCTAAAAATAAAGGGGCGACAAAGAAAATAGGCAAATACAAAGAACAAGAGCAAGAATGGAAATGTCAGTATCAGGCAGAGTAGAATTTAAGGTTAAAAACACTCCACAGCATATTATGTAATGACAAAAGACATAATATATTAAGAAGATATAGTGGCAGTAAACTCTATGTCCCAATTACCAGAAGAACTAAAGACTTTAAGTTAGAAGACACTAGAAATGCAGGGAACTTAATAAAAAATAAAAATACAATTAGATGAATATACCTCTCTTAGAATTAGATATATTTAAAGACAAAAAGACATCATCTCACTGCTTATATAGGTTGGGGTTAAAAAATAAAGACATAGAAGAATTTAATAATGCAATTAGTAAGCCTGATCTGATGGCTCTATATTAGGATCTTTGAATAGCGGTTGCACGTTTTTTGGTTTATATTCATGGAACATACACAAAAATCAAACAAATTTTGGCTAGCACTCCCCACTCCCAAAAAATTTAGAAACAAATAATTAATGTGGCGATAAATATTATAACTTTGTAAAAAATTAAGAAACGTTCTATTGGATCAGAGAGAAAAGTTAAAGATTACAAACTGCCTAGAAAGCAACAACAAAAAAACACTCATTATACCCAAACTGAATAGCATATAGCCAAAGCTGTACTCAGAGGAAAAACGTAAGCTTTAAATGCCTTCAGATGGATTTTTGTGTGTGTGTGTGTGAGGGAATATTTTATTCTCCTTAATAAGGTAGCAAATAGCAACCAAAAATACTAGAAAAAAGAAATTGATAAATAGAAGCTGAAAGCAATAGCATAGAAAACATAAGCCCAAAAGCTGTATTTTTATAAAGAGTAGTAAAATAGACAAATCCCTGTGAATAAAGGGGAAACAAACAAAAATATATGATATTAGGAATATGAAAGGTGATAATAGGGAAAAGAATGAATATTGGCAACAAACCAAAAAATTCAGAGGAATCAGAAAATTTCCTAGCAAATATAAATTACCAAAACCAGTAAGAAGTGGAAAACCAGGATAAACTTATTATCACAAAAGATACTGAAATGACAGAGATATAATTCTGAAAAATAGACTGGATCCAAATGAGTTTTATCAAACTAATAATTCCAGTGCCATTTAGGATGATAGGAAAGTATGGAAAGAAAGCTCTCCTGTTTTATAAAACACATGGCTTTGATGTCAAAACCCAATACAATAATAAATAATATATCTACAGACTTAGGAGCTCAGATGTAAAAATTTGAAACATGATTTTAACAAGTAAAATTCTGCAGTATATCAAGAGTGTAATTTAATAAGGCCAAACAAGACTTTTTTCAATAATTCAAAAACATTTCAACATCAGGAAATCTGCCAACATCTGTTATACTAGCAAACTAAAGGAGGAAAACTGTGTGATCATAACAATATTTGCTGATAAAATATTTGAAAAATATGGCAACTCTTTCTAATAAAAATACCATGGAAAGTTTAAACAGAAAACACTGTTTGCCAAAAGACTATTAATATTTCCCAAACCAAGATTAATCTAAATTGTGAAACACAAAACCTATTTCAATTAAACTAGGGAACTTGTTGTAGGGGTGCTGCTGTCACTATTAATATTATTATCTTAAATCTTTTTAAAATAAGATAAAAAGACAAACATTGAGAGGAAGAGACAAAGATGATATTATTTCCAGAAATTTTAAGAGATTGCAGTAAAACAAAATGAATACAGAAAAATTGTTACTAAAATTCAAGAAACTTTGGCAAGGTGGCTGGATATAAGATAAATATACAAAACCCACTAGACTTCCTCCTCTCCAGTCATAAGCACTTAGTAATGGACATAGGAAAAAAATATTTAGGGACAAACTTTATAAGAGAGGTATATGCACTATAATAATGGTTGAAATCCCCATCACTAGGGAAACTATGGAATAAAGTATCAAGATACATACATATCATAGAAAATTAGGCAGCTATTAGAACAGGTAACCTCAGAATCTAACAAGTGGCTTGAATAAGGTAAAATATCTTTGAAAAATACATATGCATGTGTGTGCCTATAAATGTACATACACAGAGACAAACGAAAACTCCTACATATGTGTATGTGTGAAGATAAATATATGTATATACATCACATGTATGATGACATGGGTGCAAAGAAAGGGGTACACTCTAGGTTGTTTACATGGGCTCCTGGAATGTAGGGTTGAGAAATAAGACAAGTGGTAGAGGGGGATAGGAAGAGGGGTCAGCCCCCAAAAAATATGTTTAAAGATTTCACTGAAAATTCTGTAGGATATAATTTTTAAAAATTAAGTGTGAATGTATGAAAACAAAAATTTTAAAAGTATTTTTAAAAGAGCTAGAATGGTCCACATTCCAGTAATAATAATTACATCACGACTGGTGAAATGGGGAATAGGTAAGTGGTCAAAGAGGATTCTGGCTTTTCCTGTCCTTTTTAAATTTTCAAAAGAAGTGTGGATTTGTATATTCAACTGAGATAAAAATTGATTTTAAAATTAGCTTTCTAAAAAGGGGAATACAAGAAAGTCTGGGAAGAGAGACTCAATTGTATGCAGTGATATGTGGGTTTTCTCTTGTTAATAGTATATTCTCTTTCACTACATTTTAAAAGAAAAAATACATACCACTTTTTCATTTTAAAACTATTTCCATTTTTAAATAATAAAATATGAATTGAATTAATAGAAAAAGAAAAAGGGTAAGCAATGATTTTGATAGAAGGAGCAAAAGGTAGCTAGTAGCATGTCAAAGTAGTCCTGTGATCAGAAGCTACAGGGGTAGTGATATCCCTCTGGGAGAAAGAAACTAGTTTCACATAAGCACTAAATACAATAGGTTGAAGGCCACAATCCTTCCTACCTTCCAAAGACAATAATGAATTTTAAAAATCAGATACGTTGAGGTATAAAATTACATATAATACAATGCATCCATTTTAAGTGCACACAATTCCATGAGTTTTGACAAATGTATACATCTGTTTAACTCCCTGCATAGTCAAAACAGAGAACATTTCTATCATTTCAGAAATTCTCTTGAGCTCCTTACTGGCATCCCTGGTCCCAGACAATAACTGACCTACTTTCAGTCCCTGTAGCTTAGTTTTCCTATTCTAGAGTTTCATGTAACTCAAATCAAACAGGATGGATTCTTTGTGTCTGGTTTCTTTTGCTCAGCATGCATTTTGAGATTCATCAATGTTTTGTGTATCAAGTACTTAATTATTTTTATTTTGTTGCTGAGTTTGTTTTCTGTTATATAGGTATACTATAAGTACTTAATAATAAGTACTAAAATAATAAGTACTTAATTATTTTATTTTATTTTATTGTTGAGTTGGTTTTCTGTTATATAGGTATACCCAATTTGTTTCCAAATTTTGGCAATTATATATAAAGCCACTACAAACATTCGTAGACAGGTTTTTGGTGAATGTAATTCTTCACTTCTCTTGACTAAATATCTAGGACAAAGACATTTGGTCATATGGCAAGCATATATTTAAAGTTTACCTGTTTTCCAAAGTGATTGCAATATTTTGCATTCCCACCAGACATTTTTCAGACTTCTGGTTACATTGCATTCTTGTTAGCACTTGATATTGTTAGGTTTTGTTTTTCTGGTCATTCTAATAAATTTGTAGTAGTATCTTATTGTGATTTCAATTTGTATTTCTCTAATGAGTAATAATGTTGAGCATCTTTTTGCATGTTATCAACATCTGGATATCTTCTTTGATTAAGTATTTGCTCAAATCTTTCACCCAAATTTAAAATTGGGTAGGGTGAGCATGGTGGCTTGTGCCTGTTATCTCAGCACTTTTGGAGGACAAAGCAGGAGAGTCTCTTGAGGCCAGTTCAAGACCATCCTGGGAAACATAGTGAGACCCTATCTCTACAAAAAATACAAAAATCAGCTGGGCATCGCAGTGTGCGCCTATAATCCCAGCTACTTGGGAGGCTGAGGTGGGAGGATAACTTGAACCCAGGAGGTTGAGGCTGCCATATGCCAAGATTATACCACTGCACTCCAGCCTATGTGACAGAGCAAGACTCTGTCTGTCTCTCTGTATTTTTTTAACTGGGCTATTTGTTTTCATATTAAGTTTTGAGTATATATTCTGGATACAAGTTCTTTATAAAATATGTGCTTGCAAATATTTTTCCCAGTCTTTGGCTTGTCTCTTTATTCTCTTAATGTTTTTCAAATAGCAAAAGTTCTTAATTTTTATGAAATTCAATTTATCAATCTTTTTAAATTGTTCTTTTAGTGTCATATCTAAGAAATCCTTGTCTAACTCAAGGTACAACAGTTTTATATTCTCTTCCACAAGTTTTATAGTTTTGCATTTTGCATTTAGGTCTGTGGTCCATTTTGAGTTAACATTTATGTACGGTGTGAGGTATGGGTTACGGTTTTTCTTTTATTCCACATATTGAAATCCAATTGTTCTAGCATCATTTGTTGAAAAGAATATCCTTTCTCTATTAAATTGAGTTTTGTTGTACCTTTGTCAAAAATCAGTTGATTGTATTCATGTGGGTCTTTCTGAATTCTCTATTCTGTCTGTTCCACTAATCTATTTCTCTCTCTCTCTCTCTCTTTCTCTCTCTCTTCTATCTGTCTGTCTGTCTATCTATCTATCTATCTATCTATCTATCTATCTATATTGCCATACCACACTGTCTTGGTTGTATCTTTATACTTAAATATGGAAATCAGGTAGAGTGAACCCACCAACTGTGGTATTTTTTAGTGATGTTTTGGCTACGCTAGTTTTTGTTTTTTATACACATTTTGGAATGAGCTTGTAGATTTTTACAAGATAATGTAGCTAGGGTTTTAATTGTAATTATGTTAAATCTATGGATCAATTTTAAGAGAATTGACATTTTAGCAACATGGAGTTTTAGAATCTATACACAAGGGACATTTCTCTGTTTATTTAACTTTATGTCATCAATGTTTTTAGCTTTCAACATATAGACCTTGAACATAATTTGCTGGACATAACTTATTTTTTTCTGTGCTATTCTAAAGAGTACTTAATTTTTTTTAAATGCCAGTTATTAATTGCTCACTTACAGAAATAGAGTTGAACTTTGTATTTTGACCTTCAGCCTTGCTAAACTCCCTTATTAATTCTGGCAGCTTTTTTGTAGATTCGTTGGAACTTTCTATGTAGATAATCATACTGTCTGAAAATAGTTTCATTTCTGTCTTTTGTTAAGCTGTAAGCCTTTTATTTATTTTTCTAGTCTTATTCACTGGCTAGGATCTCTAACACAATGTTGAACAAGAATGTCAACAGCAAATATCCCTGACTCATTCCCTATCTTAGAGGTAAGTGGCCAATCTTTCACCATTGGTTATGACGTTAGCTGTAAGTTTTTTGTCAATGTCTTCTATTGAGTTAAGGAGTTCCATCCTATTTCTAGCTTGCTGAGAGCATAATGGTTGTGTGGATGCTGAGCATAAATGGTTGTTTAATTTTGTCAAATGTTCTTGGCACATATTGAAATTATCATATTATTTTTATACTTTAATCTGTTGATATTGTAATTATATTAACTAAGTTTTAAATGTTGAACCAGCCTTGTATGTCCAATATAAGCCCACTGGGTCATGATATATTATCCTTTTTACATATTACTAGATTCTGTTTGCTAATATTTTCTTAAGGATGTTTGTGTCTATGTTAATTTGTATTGTTATTGTCTTTTATTTGGTATCAGATTAGTGATGGCCACATAAAACAAGTTGGAAAATAGTTCTTTCTCTTCTATTTTTTGAAAAGTTTATGTAGAATTAGCATTATTTCTTCTTTAGGCCCAATAGTAATTCATATTAGACAATCAATTATGTTTTAGAGGGAATGAAAATAAAGGGGAAACCCTTTCATATGTACTTTTATTTTAACCGCTTCCAGTCACCTTAATTTATTTGTGTAAATCCAAGTTTTGGGGGGGATATCTTATTTTTTCCACCTGAAGAACTTCCTTTAATATTTTTTGTAATGCATATCTGCTGATAATTAATTCTCAGTTTTTGTTCGTCTGAAAAACTGTGTTTCTCTTTCACTTTTGGAAGATTCTTTTGCTCAGGATAGGATTTTGTGTTGACAGGTTTTGTTTTGTTTCCTTTCAGTACTTTAAAGATGTCACTCCATTGTCTTCAGGCTCACGTAATTTTGATGCTGAATCTATTGCTATTTTTTCCTTAATTTTACCTCTCTTTCTCTTTATCCTGTCTTTGCTTTTCAACAGTTTAATTACGTTGTGTCTAGATGTGTGCATGGGCTTTTATTTATTTATTTTTTGTCTTTGTTTTGTTTCTTTGTTTAATTTATTCTACTTGAGACTTTGAACTTCTTTCTGTGGTTTCATTATTTTGGAAACATTCTCACCCATTATTTCTTCAGATATTTCCTCTGTCCCATTATCTTTCTCTTCTCTTTCTGAGATTTCAATTACACAATATTTGACCATTTGATATTCTTCCACACCTGTTGGGTACTCTTTTTTTTTTTACTGTTTTTCTCTCCTTGTATTTAATTTGTTCAACTTCTGTTGTCCTTTTTTTTTTTTTTTTGAGACAGAGTCTCACTCTCTCGGCCCAGGCCAGGGTGCAGTGGTGTGATTTTTGACTCACTGCAACCTCCACCTCCTGGGTTCAAGCGATCATCCCACCTCAGCCTCCCAACTAGTTGGAATTACAAGTGTGTGCCACCATGCCTGGCTGAATTTTTGTATTTTTAGTAGAGATGGGGTTTCACCATGATGGCCAGGCTGATCTCACACTCTTGGCCTGCCTGCCTCTGCCTCCCAGTCTATTGACTTGTTTTCAAGTTCACCAATTCTTTCTTAAATTGTATCAAGTTATGGATCAGCCAGTTAAAGACATCCGTCTGTTACTTTTATATCCTAGCATTTGTTTGACTCTTGCTTGTAGTTTCCCTCTCTCTGCTAAAATTCTGCATCTATTCATGTATGTTGTTCATCTTTTCCACTCTAGCCTTTAATATAGTAAGCATAGTCACTTTAAGTTTCCTGTCTGATGGCTTCAACATCTGGGTCATATTTGAATCTGGTTTTGTTGGCTGCTTTGTTTCTTGACAATGGGTTGTTTGTCTTGTGTTTGGTGTCTCATGACTTTTGATTGAAAGCAAAACATCTTTAGAACAGTAAAGGCTGAAGTAAATATGCATGCCTCTTTTTCGCCTAGGCAAGGGATCTGCAAACTATGGTCCTTGGGCCAAATCAGGGCTGTTGCCTATTTTTGTATGGCCTATGAGTTAAGAATGATTTTTATATTTTTTAATGTATTGAATGGATATCAAAAGAATAATAATTATGCAACACAAAACAATTATATAAAACTCAAATTTCAGTGTCTATAAAGTTTTATTGGAACATAACCATGTCCATTTATTTACATATTGTCTACGGCTGCTTTCATGCTTCAGCAGCAGAGCTGAACAGTTGCAACAGAGACCACATGGCCCACAATGCCTAAACTATTTACTGTATACTGCTCAAAGTTTGCCTACCCCTTTATGTGGGTGGTTGAGTCAATCTAGTCAGAAGTTGATTTGGATCTGGGTTTTGCTGCTCTAGGTTTGGGTTTCATCTTCAGTGCACCACCAGCTTTAAATTCTCATAGTATTTTCTTATTCTTAAGGTGGAGGCTGAGTTGCCAGAGAGTTTTTCTCAGTGTTTCTGCTTCATTCTTAGCCTTAGGCCTTCCTTGGGTGCCTGTGCCTTAGTCCTGTCCCTGGGTGTTGTGATCTGCCCCTCTCCCAGCAGGAGGAGATTCTTAATCTGGTCCCAGATTGTTTCCTTCCCTCCTCCCGAAAGCTAGGGCTTTTGTTACGTGGAGGACAAAACCCAGTGTAAGCTCCATGTTTTTCCAGGCTATGGGAAAGGGGGTAATTACCAGTTTTGCCACTTTTTGGCAAAATACCCTTTTTTTAGGAGAAGGTTAAATGCAAATAAAATTAAGACAGACATTGAAAGTATGTTCATGCTAAACTTATCACAGATTGTACAACACTCTCTAGGCATAGGCAGATTAAGGTAGCTCATCAGTATACAACATGGTCTTAGAATCCCTGGCCCCTTTTTGGTTTAACCAGACTTAAGTTCCGTAAACTCCCTGACTTGATAGGTTAACTGCAGTCCCAGACATCTGGTTGCTTAACTCACCCCTTGTCCTAACCAATGTATATATCCTCAAGTTCAGCAAGCACTATGCCAATGCTTAATAATTAACTCATGCAATAAATATGTGAATTTACACTAAATGTAAGTGCAATAATTACATCAAATCAAAATCTGAGCATAGAAAATGGAAAATCTTTGGGGAGACAATTGAACCCTTTGGTTTCATTGAGAAAAAAATCACCGAAACACAGCATGTCATAGCTGAAAAATCCTTTTGAGAACATCTAGTTTACCAGCTTCACTTAACCAATGAGATAACCAAGACTCAGAGAAAAGTAACACGAGAAAAGTCACACAGCAAGTTAATAGTGTGGGAACTGTTACCTTTTGAATTAAAAGTCGGGAGGAGACAGGGAGCCTCTGGGTCTTTGTGGGAGGGGTGGCATGTTGGGAGGAAGAGTCCCAGGCTTGCGTTTATTGCTAACTAGCTGTGTGGCCTAGCTAGTGTGTGTGATTCAGTCCCCCTCTGCCATCTATCTGCCCTGTCCCTTTCCTGGGGACTATATTAGCTGAGAGATGTAATGGTGCTTCATTAAGACCTTGGGGGAGCTGGGCTGCAGGGATCCTGTGGTCACCCAGGACTTGCTTCCCTCCATTTTCTGAAGATGAGGCTCAGGGCACAGCCTAATGCAGTGAGGCAAAGAAGACAGGTCCAGAGTCCTGTCTGAGCCTGGAGGTTCCTGCCCTTGACTGGTAGGCACCATCTCTTCTGTCTCCCCCACAGCTTCTGGATCAGTCAGGGTCTTATCAGGAAACCAGAAGCAGAGCTCTCTGTGAACGGAGATAAGTTAACATAAGGACTTGGTTAAAAACCTCTGAGGGGCATCATAAGGATGATTCTAGGGATACTCCCTATGTTAGTCTGCTGTGAGCGCTATAACAAAATACCATACACTGGATGGCTTCTGCAACAGACATTTATTTTCTCATAGTTCTAGAGACTGGAAGACCAAGATCAGGTTGCTGACTGATCTGGTTTCTGGTGAGGGCTCTCTTCCTGGCTTGTAGATGACCACTTTTTCCACTGTTTCCTCACACAGCTTCTCCTCACTGTGTGTGTGTGTGTGTGTGTGTGTGTGTGTGTGTGTGTGTGTGCGCGCGCGTGCATGCGTGTGTGTGGCAGAGAGAGACAGAGAGAGAGAGAGAGAGAGGGCTCTCCGGTGTCCCTTCTTATAGGAACACTAATCCTGTCAGATCAGGGTCCCACCCTTATGACCTTATTAACCTTAGTTACTTCCTTAGAGGCTTCACCTCCACATACAGCCACACTGGGGGTTAGGGTTTCATCATAGGAATTTAGGGAGACAGACAAACATTCAGTTCCTAACACCCCCCTAAGAAGCTGGAGACTGGAACCTATTGCTGCTACTAGGTGAAGCCCCCCTGCTGAGGCATGCTGCCTGGAACAGGAAGCAGACAGGAAGAAGGATGTCTTTCCTCCCTCCTTCCTCCCCCCATGTTGGGAGAGCCTGTCATGGCGGAGTAGCAGTGTCACGGCCCAGCGTGGAAGGCTGAGTGTGGAGCTGAGGGGAACCCTCTCTAGCCAAGGCAGACCATGGAACCAGAGCAATCCAATATACTTAATAGGAAAAGTCACATTCACTCCCCAGGATTACCTCAAATCTTGAATGTCATATTAAAGGTTTTGGAATTTGGGCTGGGCTCAGTGGCTCATGCTAGTAATCCCAATGTTTGGGGAGGCCAAGGCAGGCGATTGCTTGAGGAGTTCCAGACTGCCTGGGCAACATAGCAAGACCCCTCTCTCTACAAAAGAGTTAAAAATTAACCAGGCATGCTGGCATGTGCCTGTAGTTCCAGCTACTTGGGAGGGTGAGGCAAGAGGGTCACTTGAGCCCAGGAGTTCAAGGCTGTGGTGAGCTACCATGGCGCCCATGCGCTGCAGCCGGGGCCAGAGCAAGACCTTATCTCTAAAAAATAAACAATTTTAAAAATAAAGACAGAATTCAGCATTTGGTCAGTGGCCAGTGGGGTGATACAGATCCGAGTAAAGGGGTGATGTGACCAGCTGTCCTCTCTTCCTTCACCCAGTCCTACCCATCCTTCTTCCCCAAACTCTTGGCACACCCCGACTCTCCTCCTTTACATTGCACACCTTCTCTGTAATTCGATACACATCAGCAATTTAATATGCAGCATGATGAGCCTAGGAGAATATTCCATGGGACCAGCGTGCAGCTTCACTGTGAGCTGGGGAGTGGCTGTCAGGTTTAGACCATAGAAGGTCCTCAGCAGATGTGTTGCGTGTGAGATGGGAAGTGCCTGGTCAGACCCCACCCCATCAACAGCCTGTCTTCATCCTTGCCAGCAGGACACACACACACACACACACACACACACACACACACTCTTCTTACGCACAGTCAAATCCTCTCATTCACACAGTCCCACACTCATCCTTACATTCACCTGTGCCCTCACACTCATCTTGCACTCACCCCTCTGAAACTCACACCCCTCACACACTCCCATGGACCCACTCACACTCACTTCACTCACACTCAGCCCTCACTCTCACTCACACCTGTGGCCCCTCCCACTCCCACATTCTCACAGCTTCACGCACTCCTGCTCAGTCTTCGCCCACACTCTCTCCCCCTCACTTGCAGACACTCACTCTGTCACACTCTTGCTCTCACACTTATCCTGCCGTTCCCACCTTCCCACTGCTTCCCTCATACTAACTTCCACCCCCTTGAAGTCACCCTACCCATCTCTGAGTCACTCAGTGTATTAGTCTATTTTCACACTGCTAATAAAGACATACCCAAGACTGAGTTACTTATAAAGAAAAAGAGTTTTAGTGGACTCACAATTTCATGTAGCAGGGAGGCCTCGCAATCATGGTAGAAGGTGAAAGGCACATCTTACTTGGTGGCAGACAAGAGAGAATGAGAGCTAAGCAAAAGGGGTTTCCTCTTATAAAAACATCAGATTTCCTGAGACTTAGTCACTACCATGAGAACAGTATGGGAGGGAGTGATTCAATTATTTCCCACTGGGTCCCTCCCACAACATGTGGGAATTATGAGAGCTACCATTCAAGACGAGATTTGGGTGGGGACACAGCCAAACCATTGAACCACACCCACCCATACGCCTTCACTCCCTCCCTCACTGCTTCCCATACTCACGGCTGTCACACTTGCTCACCTCCCTGTCTCTGGCTTGCTCACTGGCATTGCCACACTCTCCCACAGAGACCCTCTCAGCAGGATTCTGCCCTGCCACCCTCCTGTCATCCTGCCTCATCTTCAGGGCTCTCTTCCTTACTCAGCAAATCGCCAGGCACTGGACCAGCCTCTTAGGCTGAGGGCAGACTGGGAGCTTCCTGTCTCCACCCTCCCTCTGAGCAGGAGGAGCTCTGCCTGCTCCTGGTTGGATGTGAAAAAAGGACAGTATACAGCAGACATGTCCCATCCGCTGTCGAGGACCCTCCTCCCTCCCTTGCCCACTTCCACTACCCACATGCTGTGGGGCACTGGGGAGCACCTTTCCCCAGTGGCTCCCTGGCCTGCCCCTGCCTCAGCTGTGTGAGGCTGAGCCTCCCTCTCTTCACTTCTACCTTCCCTCAGCTCCCAAGACACCTCCAGTGTCCTCTGATAACATGACCCCAGTAGCAGGCCTGTTTTTCCTTTGATCTCCATCTTGCTCTGGATTGCCCAACAAAAGCCTTTTGTCTAAAGTGCAGGGTGTGCCTTACATGACTGCTTGCTGGGCTTTGGGTTGATTCTCATGGGTCTGGCTGCCCTCTTCTATGCTCCCTTGAGTTTGTGGCCCTCTTCCTGTCTCCTATAAATGCTCCTTATTGCCTTTTTATGTATTCATTTGAATGGATAGTATAGTCAAGTCATGTGTTTCAAAATTCAAAAGATACAGGGAGTAAGGTTCCCTTCTCACTCCATCCCTCAGCAGCAAGGTTCCTCTCCCCAGAGGCAATTGTTCTCTTCAGTTTCTTGTATAAGGTTCTAGAAATAGATACAAGGAAGCGTGTGTGTGTGTGTGTGTGTGTGTGTGTGTGTGTCTGTGTGTGTGTGTCTGTGTGTGCTCGTTTGGCCATCACTGGGACCGTGAGAGACACTCCCCGCCTCTTCCTCATTAGGGTCATTTGAGAGTGGCCCAATCAGAAGTGCATCGGTAAGACCTTTCTCACCCTCTCACGCCATCCTCCCTTTCAGTCTTGTCATATGAAGAAATAACTGTATATTATTTTCTGAATGTCTTGCGCCCTGCCTCCCTCAAGTCTAAGAGATACTTCCGCATGCTAAGCCTTCGTGCAGTGTTATAAAGGGTATAGTATTATACCCTTTCCCTCAAGATTCTTATCACTTCCAGTTGGCCAGTCAGTTCTTTGATGGTCAGAATTCATTTCAGAGTGGCTGATCCACTGGTCATTTTCTCTGCCCTCCTGGGAGATTAAATTGTTGGGCGAGCTGAAAGCAATCGTCCAAATAGATGCCTCTTTGAGGGCCATCCCTGTGTCTGCCGATGTCCTTTGCCAACCCTCCAAAGGTGGATGGGGACCAAGGAGCACCCCCACCCCACGGAACAAGGGATAGGGCACATGGCCGCATCAGCCAGCCTGGCTGTCCTGCTGCCCTCGCCACCCCTGGTTAATTGCCAGGACACATCAGTGGGCACTGTCTGAGGAAGGAGCAGGCAAGCCAGCCCGCAGCCTCCCAGCTCAGCAATCATCGCTGATTAAAAACTAGTTACAAAGCAATGAAGATGGAATCCTGCATTAACCAAATGACCCCATCCATGGCCAAGCCCAGATAGATGGGAGTGATTATGAAAGCATCACTCACAATGTCAGCAAACATTAACGGCTGTGTGAATTTCCAGGAGATTTACGGGGTAGTGACAGCCTTTGGCTGGATGGGACTCTGGCTCTTTGCTTCATTCCCAGATGTGCCTGTGTGTTTATGGGCTCTGGGGGACTCAGCCTATTCAGAGTGGTCTATCTCGGGTGTGCTTTTACTTGGGTTTAATCTGAACGTGCTGGCTTGTGTAAAGTAGAAATGTATTGTATTGCCAATTTTCAGAGAATCTGAATTAGCTCAGCTATTCTGGACATAATTTAATCTTTCTTTAATGATTCAATAGGTGCTTTGAAGTCTCGCTAATCAGAGTCATGGTTATGAATATCAGAACTTGATATTGAAGAAGCATAAAAGTGCTCATCAAAGAACTAGGTGATGGAAATGGCAGGAAGCAGCATAAGTGGATGCTTCTGTGAGAGTGCAGGTATGACCACGCGTGTCGGTGGGCATGTGGAAGCCTGGTGTGATAGGAGGTCCAGCTGGGATAATGTTGACCTCACCACAGGCAGTGAATGACCCTATCAAAAAGTCAGCCTGGGCCAGGCGCAGTGGCTCACACCTGTAATCCCAGCACTTTGGGAGGCCGAGGCGGGCAGATCACCTGGGGTCAGGAGTTTGAGACCAGCCTGACCAACATGGTGAAACACCATCTCTACTAAAAACACAAAAATTAGCTGGGCATGGTGGCAGTCGCCTGTAATCCCAGCTACTCAGGGGATGGAGGCAAGAGATTTGCTTGAACCATTGAAGCAGAGGTTGCAGTGAGCCAAGATCGCACCATTGCACTCCAGCCTGGGTGACAAGAGCAAAACTCCATCTCAAAAAAAAAAAAAAAAAAAAAAAAAGTCAGCCTGTCCCACACCTCCCAAGGAGAATTTAGTCTTTGCTTATTTGGGCCTCAGTTGAGCAGATTTGGAGTGAAGGGTAAAGAGGAGAATTGTCCTCCCCAGAAAAGGCCCAAAAGCCCAAGACAGAATCCCCTTTAATAGGTAAAAGAGAAATATAAGCAGATATATAAGGTGAGCGAGGGGAGACCAGAGCTGGGTTTAGAAGAAGGAAGTAGAGTGTTAGGAAGCAGCTGCCATGATTGCAAATATACATGTGTGCATGCACATAAAGTGGAAATAATGGCATCGGCCCCATTAGGCAGCTCTGAGATCTAAGAAGCCCACATGCTTTGCTGTGGACTGAATGTTTGTATACCCCTGGAATTCATATGCTGAAGTCTAAATCCCCAGTGTGATGGTATTTGAAGGTGGGGCCTTTGGGCGGTAATTAGGTCATAAAAGTGGAGCCCTCATGAACGGGAAGAATCCCCTTATAAAAGAAATTCTGACAAGCTGCCTTGCCCCTTTTCTGCCATTTGAGAATACAGTGAGAAGGCACTGTCTGTGAACCAGGAAGCGGATGCTCATCAGGCACTGAACCTGCTGGCACCTTGATCTTGAATTTCCCAGCCTCCAGAACCATGAGAAATAAATGTCTGTTGTTTAAGCCATCCGTAGACAATGTCTGTTGTCTATGGTATTCTGTTTTAGCAGTCTGAAGACAAAGACATGCGTCCTCTCCTTCTTTCTCTCTAGTTCTCTGGTGAAAAAAATTTGATAGAATCACCAATTGAAATTTTTTTAATAACTTCGGGAAATTCTTAAATTGCCTTTCAAGAGCCAGGTGTGGTGGCTCACATCTGTAATCCCAGCACTTTGGGGGGTCAAGGAGGGTGAATCACCTGAGGTCAGGAGTTTGAGACCAGCCTGGGCAACATGGTGAAACCCTATCTCTACTAAAAATACAATTAGCCAGACGTGGTGGCAGGCACATGTAATCCCAGCTACTAGGGAGGCTGAGACACAAGAATCGCTGGAACCTGGGAGATGGAGGTTGTAGTGAGCCGAGATTGTGCCACTGTACTCCAGCCTGGGCAACAGCATGAGACTCCATCTCAAAAATAAAAATAAATACATAAATTGCCTTTTAATAATATTTGACTGTGGAAACCTCTTTGAATATACCCCTATGTGGAAGCAGGGCAATAAGTCAGAAACAAGAAGGGCTGTCTGTTGGAGTGGTACCATTCAGGCCAGAGACCCTCTTTTCCAGGTATGCCCCAGAAGTGGTTCCCAGCAGCAGGGTCAAGCAGATGGTGCTGGCCAACCTGGAAAGTCAGCCTGAGAACCACCTGAGGCTAGCTCCTTCGCCCTCACCCCCTGCCAACCCAGCCCACTAGAGGAAATGGAGATGCTCAAACATTCAGATATTCTGAGTGGGACCACAGAGGAGCTCCTCCAGCCCTGAGACGTAAAAACTGAGTTACAGGGGCAGCTGCATAGCCCAGCCTACCTCCACTGGGCATCCCCTTTCCCCAACCCAGGAAAGAGAAGGCTGGGAAGGAGGTTGTGCATTGGAACTGGGGATAGAAGGTGGGGCGGGGGCAGAGTTATCCCAGGTCAGCCAGTGCAGGGACATAGGGAAGGGATCAAAGGTGGCTGGGAGCAACGGCTCATGCCTGTAATCCCAGTACTTTGGGAGGCCAAGGTGGGAGAATCACTTGAGGTCAGGAGTTCCAGTCCAGCCTGGCCAACATGGTGAAACCCCATCTCTACTAAAAATACAGGAACTAGCCAAGAGTGGTGACAGGTGCCTGTAATCCCAGCTACTTGGGAGGCTGAGGCAGGAGAATGGCTTGACCTGGGAGGCAGAGGTTGCAGTGAGCCCAGATGGACTGGGCAATAGAGTGAGACTCCAACTTAAAAAAAAAAGAAAAGAAAGAAAAGTCCAAAGGCTTCATTATCAAGGGACCCAGTGGTCCTGGCTCTGTGGCACTACAGGCCAAAGTGAATATCTCTGTTTGCCAGTGCCCAAATTCTACCCCTACCCCATCCTTGACTGTCCCTCACCCCATACCTGTCCAGGGCCCATCTGTCTGGGGATTTGAGGAATCCAGAGGCTCTTCCCTTCATTCATGTGGTAGTTACACTTTTGGAAAAGTCACTATATACTGAAATTATGCAAAAAATACTTTTAAAATATTTTTAATGTTTATTTTAGAGACGGGGTCTCACGTGTTGCCCAGGCCATTCTCAAACCCTTGGTCTCAAGACCCTCCAGTCTCGGCCTCCCAATGTTCAGGGATTATAGGCATGAGCCACCATATAGTGGTACCTATAATGGTACCACTCCAACCAAAAAAATACTTCGAGTTGGCTGTTAAATAAAATTAGACAAAAGGCCCAGATGATTATAGATTGGTTTCTCCTCTACATGGATATCGTGTGGAACCCTTGAAGGGCTCTGCTACAGATTGGGGGCCTAGCCCGTGCCCTCCCACTGCTGACCTCTCAAGTGATACAATAGCCACTAATGTCCTCCCCGGCCCCACTCATCCTTCCACCACTGCCAGAGCAGGCATTCTGCACCACCAGCCTAACCGTGACATTGCCCCTCAAACCCTTTATTAGCTCCCCATACCCACAAAGAGGGTCTCAACATTGGCATTTGGAAGTTTCTGGGGGCATCTTGATGGTCACAATAATGGGAGACCTCTGTCACCATTTAGGGGGCAGGGCCAGCGATGAGGATACCCAAAGTATGTGGGCCAATCCCACTTGAGGACAACTTGTCCTGGGTCCCTTGTATCCATATGACATACGTATGACAGAACTGGGCCCAAGGGACCCAGGACAAGTTGTCCTCATGTGGGATTGGCCCACATGTCTGTATGTGTACTATGCCTGTGCACTGTCATATGTATACACGTGACAGTAAATATGTATAGGTGCCACATATGTGATACACATGATAGTGTATAGGCGTGGCACATATGATGTCCATGATAGTGTGTATGTAAAGTGGGTGTAATACAGTTTGGTATCTACACTCTTCTTCACAACAAATCACCTTCCATTTGGGGGCACAACAGAGAGTCACACCCTGGGTTGAAAATCTGGAGTCCAGGTGGCCTCAAGATGGAGGCACTCCTCTTCCTTCAGCTCAAGCAGCCCTGTCTCTGGGCTGCCTTCCCCACTCACCTGCCCACTGTGTCCAACCAGGGTCTGTCAACTTCATGTGGCAGCAGGCTGCTATGGCATATGACCAGTCGTCCAAATGTCCAATCTGTCAGAAGACTTGAGTTCCCTAGAATCTTGCTTTTTGTGATCATTTACAAAGTTTTCAGCTATCTGTGTCGATTGAAACGACTTTAATAGCTTTGGAAGGTTTCCGTGGAGTTGTAGTCATATACTTTTCCCTGACTTATTTTGGCTTCATCACAATAGATGGAGGTTGCTGGGAAGAGATAGGGACTCTGCTAAGGAGAGAGCTTCAGATCAGCACACAGCTTGGCGTGGTGGTGGGACTAAAGGCACGTGCAGTGGAAATTGGGGTGGTGGGCGGGGAGGCTGAAGGCAGAAATTGGGGAGAATGACGGGTGAGAGGAGTCTGAAGGCTCCAGATTGCTGGAGTCCCAGCTCCCCACAGCCCTGCTGAGCCTGCTCTTCCACCCCGTGAGATGATAAAACGACTTCTCAGATGGGTTGATTGCAACCACTTGTCGGAGTTTTATCTCAAAGTTGCCAATTAAAAGAGCTGCTTCCATGAAAGCCAGTTCTGAGATTTCTTCTGTGGTAGAGGCATCAGAAGCAGGAGAAGAGTGTCTAAGCCACACTGTTAGATCAGGTGTGATGAAGGACTGTGTGGTGAAAAGGCACTGAGGGAACAGTGGTGGATAAATCTAATATCACCCAAGGGCTGTAGATCATGTCCTGCAAAACAGTGCTCAGTTCTGTCACAGACGAGGTGTGGGACAATTTTTTCTCACAAATAATTGTAGTGAAGACCATAGCTAAAAGAAACAAGGTACGTGTGTGGGGCCAGGGGTGGGGGAAGTGGGGGTGGGCACGTGCGCATTCAAATTTGGTTAATTTGATGGAGTGGGTCGTTAGATGAATTGGTTATTGGGTGTGTTGATAGGAGGATTCGTTACTGTGAGACTTTCCTAAAAGTACTTGCAAATGAAAGGATCAAGATCTCTCTTGAGGAATCAAACTATAAAATGGGAGGTAGGCAGAGAGGAATGTCATTAAGCCATGAAAGCAAGATCAAGGGAGAGGCTCCAGGCCAGCGTTCATCTCCTGGGGAGAGGAGTCTTAAACAATGAACTTCAGGTGTCTCGGCCAGTCGCCTGCGCTTGTGCAAGGTGGAGGCGGAGGCAGGGCTCAGCTGATGGATTTCTCGTATTCTTGTCCTGTGCTCAGACCTTCCCTATTGGGAGACAGATGCACCTGCCGACCTTCGTTGATGCAGTTAAATATTTGCTCCATCAAGCTCCCCTTGTTCTGATAGAAAACGTGCCAAGCAGCCTTCTGGCTATAATCTGGCCTGCCAGGTAGATCTCGTTGATATCAATGAGCCAGCCCTCTG